CACCCGAGCTAATGCTAGGGGTGCTGATAGGAGCACGCACCACTAGCACTCCCGGGGAGACTCCATCTATTGGTGGGGAGCAGCATCTGCTGGAAAACGGGCCCCCCATCCCTGAACATTATAGTTGTTTGTTTGTTTGAACAGACATGTGATTAGACGTGTGACTGTGATGGCAGCTTATTGCTGAGCTCCACCTACAAAGAAAGAAATTTGGCAGGTGGACCTACACAGCGCTACCGGGGAAAAACATCGATGGGGCTACCGGGAGCGCTGCGGCCCGGCATCAACCATGGCGGAGTTCTAAGCTGGAGCGCGATATCGGAGCGATGGCAGGAGGTGGTGATCTTCCAGCTGGCAATTCCAGCGCGTAGCGCACACGCAGGGCCTGGAGGCACTGGTCTAGGCCATGTCAATGGCTGACGTGGAGGATAGACCGACCCCCGACGGTTACTCGGGAGTTTCGCGTTTTTGCCCCATCGCCGCTGCGGTTCTGCCCGTGGCACAGGGCCATGAGGCATTGGGTTAGTCCGCGCCTGTGGAGCACTGCGGAGTCAGCCCTTGGGACCTGAAGTGCGTGTGGGATTGTCATCCTCTTCATCAACATCATCTGTCATCGTCGCATTGGAGCTGCTTGGAATCGTCATCATCATCATCAACAGGGCGTGTTTTGACAGCGTCACCATGGAAAGGGATTCGTCATCGTCATCAGGAGGCTGTTCGTCAGGGTATTGCTCATCATCAGCATTATCATCATCAGGGACTGGTTCGGCATCATCATCACGGTAATGGTTCGTTGTTAGCATCAGGCGTCATCACTATCATCGGGCGTCATCACCCATCATCACGGTAACGGTTCGTTGTTAGCATCAAGCGTCATAGCATCAAGCGTCATCACCATCATCATCATCAGGGTGCCGTTTGTCACCAAATATCAAGGTATGGGTGGCTATCATCATCATCATCTGTCTTCATAGAGCGCCGCAGAGGTTGCTCGTTATCATCATCATCACTGTCACTACGCCAATATCATTGCCATCATTAATAGCTTACTACCATAAGGCGCCCATCATCAGCATCACTACGTTATCATCCAAGGTGTTCGTCATTTGCACCATCACCATCTCTCTGAGCGTCGTCATCATCATCATTATCGTCATCTCACCATCATCATCATTATTATCATCATCATCATCACTATCATCAATTTGTAATCACTGTTCTTCAGTACGATCAGCATTACCATTATGTCTTCATTTTCATCATTACTATCATCATCATCAGTTTGTCATCATTAGGTGTGGCGTTTCAAGGTCGTGCTCGTTTTTCACATCAGCAGGTGAGTTTGGTCATCATCATCATCTTCAACGTCATCATCTTCAGGATGCTGTCCAATCGCTATCGTGTTCGTCTTTCACATTAGCAGGTGAGTTTGGTCGTCATCATCATCTTCAACATCATCATCTTCAGGATGCTGTTCAATCGCTATCTGGAAAAAAAAAAAAACTCTCATCTACCTTTCTCTCCATCATAATCCTTCGAAATTTCCGATTCTTCCACTCATGTCTTAAAAAATTGATCTGATGGGTGTGCTTCAGTCGGGATAGGGCTTCTGTGGTCACGGTTTGGACTCTTGGGGGCAGGGTGGGGGTGGTATTGGGGAGCCCTACTACAGGGGCGCTGCAAGGTGGGAGGTGGCTGCCCTGTCGGGAGCGGGGCAGATTTGTGGTTCGTCCTTGTCTGGGGCCGGGGTGGGAGAGTTGGTCGCCTTCAACCCTGGCGGGGGCAGACAGGGATAAGGGGAGGGCGAAGGTATCCTCTAGGACGGAATTGGCTGCCTTTGCGGAAGGGAGAAAGGAGAGGGTCTGTTCCAGGTTGGGGCCGAGGAGGTTTTCCTCGGCGGTGGCAGCATGGGACAGGGTTTGTGGGGAAGTTTCTCTATGCGGTGAGTCGTGGAAGCTTCCTGGTTGGAACGTTTCTTGGTTTCTTCTCTTATGCTTGGTAGTTTGAAGAATTTCTCAGGTCTCTGAGGGTCTGTCGGTGGTTTGTACGAAGCTGCACTGAATTCAAACTATTATATTTAGGACCCGCGGTTGTTCAATGCCAGAACGACGCTGGCCAGAGCCGGGGTGATGCCCTGTAACTTGCCGACAGTGAGAGCACGAGGCCTTGTAGAGAGATCTGGGGGTGCTATGCAGGGGGGCATCCTAACGGATAACTGGGGGTTGCTGACACAGGACGACACTGGCCATGTTGCGCGTGCACACGCAGGCCATTTTGCAGGCCTGCGTCCGTTCAGGCTAAAAGCCTGAACTTCAGGCTGAAAGCCTGAAATCCAGGGCTTACAGGCCCCCTGTCGGTTCAGGCCAAAAGCCTGAATTCTAGGGCCTGTCCCTGTGTCGTTTCAGACTAAAAATGGCTACAGCATTTTTAGCCTGAAATGAAGGGCCATTTTCGGTCGTTCATCAGAACGACCGGCCTCGAAACTCAGGCACCGAACCAGGGTTTCGGGAACAGACTATTAATAGTCTGTTTCCCATGCCAGCCTCAAGCAGGCTGCTGCACGCCAGCCCCTGGCACACTTTGGCATTGGCAAGAGCTGCCTCCTCGACCTGACTGGCCTCCAGTAGTCAGGAGGTAGGCCGAGGAAGTACATAGGACTTCCCAGGCACTTTCGAGGTAGGCAGTCGGTAGTTGTAGTCTTCAGGATTCGGGAGCAGCACTCTGGAGGGAGCGCTGCAGTGTAGTAGTAGTAGCGTTAGCTTGTAGTCTTCAGCGCTGGGAGCAGTAGGTGGTTGTAGTCAACAGCGCTAGGCGCCATAGCTAGGTAGTACTAGAGAGAGAGAGAGAGAGAGAGCTTGGGCGGAGGCCAGAGGTACCTACCTGCAGCGCCGTTGCTCCTGCTTCGTCTTCGAGGTACCTGCAGCACAGCGCCAACATCACAGGTTAGTATCTGGTTCATAACAGAGAGAGAGAGAGAGAGAGAGATTTCTTCTTCTTCTTCTTCTTCTCAGTCCACCATCTCTTCTCTCCCTCTTAACTTCTGACTTCCCTGCATCTGCAGACTATGAGAGAAGAGATACAGAGCTTGGTGACATATGATCCAGACTCGACTTTCGGTGGTTCAGGCATGGCAACGAGGGACTATTTGGGATTGGTGACCAAGACTTGGTGTTAAAGACATTCCCATCTTCCTCCCTCCTTTCGTCTGATCCTTATCTCTTCGTCTATGTATGTCTGGACCTGGCGCTTTCTTCCTGTGTGCAGCACCAGGCTCCTTCACACTTGGTGATGGATACAATGCATGTTTAGTATGAGTTCAAACATTGATTGGGCTAGTTAGTAGTACTCTAGCGTTCTGCTTCGTTACTCTGAACTACGTGAATGAGGTCAGTCTTGTCAGGTCAGTCTTTGTATCAAAGTCTTCCCTGCGCTATTCAGCACCTTTTGTATGTATGAGAATGCACATTGTCTGTCGAGATTTTACTTGCACTATATTGTCCATTCAGTCATTTTCATCACATTGCAGTTCCTCGGTTATTACTTACATTGCATATTTGTGCATGTAACAGTTGGTATCGGAGCTTTGCACGTGAATCAGGACAACCTAATCTAACACGTGTGCGGGGACTAAAAAGCTAATTAGTCTTTTCTGTTTGATTAGGACATACTAGTTAGACCCCAAAATCACGATCTTGACCTTACTACCGAAAATCGAAATTTTTTTTCTTTTCTCGGATTTTATTTTCTCGCTATTCTGCTGTGGAAAATCGCTATATCGCAACATCTGGAATTCCTATTTTCGTTTTTCTTTCTGAAAATCCAAAATTTCGTTGTTGAAAATACGGAATATTTTTCTTTTCGAAAGTTTCGATTTCCTGTTGCATTTCCTGTTACTTAGAAATTCGGAATATTTTCCTCTCTGAAATTCGTTTTTAAGAAAACGGTACGGGAAATACCTCGTGCATTATTATATTTTCAAACTACGAATCGGAATAAATTCGAATAGGTATTATTTCTGTTCGGAATTTTTTTTCGCAGTTGTAGGATACTGTCGTTCAGTTCTATAAATCATTAGCAGTTTAAAGTCGAAATTTTTTTTCTCTTTCAGAGATTATTTCGTACTTCAAGGGAGATTGGGAGACCTACCGAACTTGCAAAAA